CAAGTACCATGTGGGACTGTGTGCATCTCGAGCCCGGGGTCCAAGAGCAGACCTACGACAATCCAATGTATAAATAAAGAGGCAGCGTTAAGTCATTCATTCATTCTGCCTGTGAGCCATGCGAAAGCGCTATTGGAGCGTCTTGTGCTACGGAGGTTTGCAAGTGCCCGGGGAGGAAAACGGCTAAGAGGAGAAAGACGCGGCCATAGCCGCAAGTTAGTGGAAGGAGGTAGACGACATCCATAGCTGCCAATTAGGAGGTTAGTCTGTGTGTATGTGTAGAGTGTGTGAGTGTGAGTGTGTGGGACATCCAGGGTGATCCAAGAGTGTGTGCGTCTGTGTGAATCAGTTGTCGGGGGATACAATCGATCGAGTGGGAATCTTTGTTTGGCGCCCAGCGCCATAGCCATTTCAAGACAAGTTTGAGTCTAAGTTGTGTTCCTGGCCTCGCTTATCTTTGAGCTTTGTGTGGGCCAGTTTGATCGTCATCTATTTGTATGCACGTTGAAGCAAGTTTTGAGACAAGTCTGATTGCAGCAAGATCGATCAATCAATCAATCAATTTAGCAATCAACTAATCAATCAATCAATCGACCATTCAATCAATCGACCGAGCAATCAATCAATCAATCAATCGACCAATCGACCAATCAATCAATCAATCGCTCCATCGATTGATCAACCAATGGATCGATCAATGAATACTACAAGTTTATTGCCAAAGCAGGGTTGGGGTAGATCAATCATTACACTGATTGATAGATCAAACGATTTACCAAGATCAAACCGCATATGAATTGATCTGCTGGTTCACTTACTCATCGATCATAACGTACATCTATCGCCAAATGATCAATCAACCTTCTGCTTTACGGGGCCTTTTGATTTAGTTTTGATTGACTGCAGAGTTGCATCCTAAGCATCAGATTATATACATGGTTCAAAGTTCAAACCATAAGACAGATTCTACCACAACCTTCATCCTGCACTGGAACCAACCCCCACAAGTCATCCTTACCTATAAAACAAAACAGAATGTGTATGTGACTTAACACCATTATCGTCCTCTTAGACTGCCTCCCCTATTAACAATCTCTATGGCATGGCATACTTCTCGTCTCCTTTTCCTTTTTCGTTTTTCTTTTTTTTGCCCCTTTTTTTTTTAAAGGTTAATCGAAACTCAATCACATTGTACTTGCCTCGTTCATTTGAGCTACCGGCTCTGTGTGGTTAGTTTCCTGCATTTGTTTCTCTTACATACCACAGGTAGTTCCAACTATTACCACAATGTTTATTTACCACATATTTAATTTTTATTAGTAATTATTACCACATTTAATTTCTATTACCAAATTGTCGACTTACTGCGATCGGACTTGTCTTCTTCGATACTCAGCATGCATGCAAATAGATGACGATCAAGCTGGCGACTTGCACCCACACAAAGCTCAAAGATAACAAAGCCAAGAACACGGTTTAGATTCAAACTTGTCTCGATCGGCCACTCTCAGCAACTTGTTCGCACACACACCCTGGATGTCCCTGGATGTCCCGCCACTCATACACAGAACACATGTACACACACACACACACTAACTAACATGCTAACTGACAGCTATGGTTGTCGCCATCTACCTATTACTAACACAAGCGGCTATGGCCACGTCTTCCCCCTCTTAGCCTACTTCTCCGACGGGCACCTGCAGACCTTCGTACACAGGACGCTCCGATAGCGCTTCCCCACGACTCATAGGCAGAATGAATGAGTGACTTGACGCTGCCTCTTGATTTATACTTCGGATTGTCAAAGGTCTACCCTTGGACCCCGGGCCCAGGGCGCACACAGTCCCAAATGGTACTTGCTAACTTGACAAACTGCGACCGGGACTGGGTACCGCTGACTGGGTTGAGTTAGACTGCCCACTTGCCCACTTGCCTACTTGCCTACGGACTGCTAGCTAGGACTCACGAGGGGGCAGAGCAGACTCATCTAGAAAGTCCTAATCTATCCTACATGACCCTTTGGCACTGTAGCAGCTACGACCAACATTGACCTTTCGAAACTGCAGCAGCTACGACCGGACCTACTCTAAGACCACTACCCTACACGTTAATAGATCGAGACCCCGTGACCTACATATGTACAATAGCCTCAAACAGACGACTTTCAGGGACAGGTCGCGGGTTCGAACACACACAAGGGTCAACATATATTGTACACGGGTACCGGGGAGGTCTAGGATGAAGTCTTGGCTGCTGCAAACTGTCGTGCGACAGGTGAAACCGTTTCACTCCCGCCGGCCTAAATTCGAGGTCCTCCGAGAATAATTCAATCTATAGCAAGACCTTTACCTTTCTTAGTTCTCTCGTAGGCACGAACTATGTCGGGAGCTGTCTCTAGAAGTTTTGTTCGTGTAAACCAGGGATCGTCCTCGGACTCTTGGTAGGAAAATCTGACTTTATACTGATTCTATGGATGACCTCTACCTCCTGTCCTTAATACATCGTCATCCACTATGCCGTCAATGTCGTACCTTACGTCCATATATGAAGGGATCATGGATCTTCTCGATGGGAACTGCATACTCGTAATGCAAGGCAACAACTTTGATGCATGGAAAACTGGGTAGGTGTGGAGGTATGCTGGAATGTCTATCGTGTAGGATGGTCCGTCGTCTCCACCTTTGACTTCTAGAACTGGCCACGGTCGTCTATACGCAGGCAACAGTTTCTACGAGATGTTATCCTCAGGAGTAAACTCTTTAGACTTGACCAAGACAAAGTCGCCTACTTGGAACGTCGACGGGCGACGATGCTTATTAGCTTGCTCTATCATTCTGCGTTGGGCCTTCCTGAGGTTCTCTACTACTTTTGCAATTTCTTTCTCGTGATGTAGCGAAAACTCCCTAGTACCGGGCGGTATCCTTTGAATCTGGTCCCGGTTCTGTCCCTGAAACGGTCTGCGGGGTCTAAAGAACTTGTGTAATTCGTTGGGAGTGCGACAAGTGGCTAAATGAACGTTGTTATTGTAAGCACTGGCTGGCTTTGGGAGCATCTTGTCCCAGTTGACTTGATCTGGTCTAATGTACATTCTAAAAACTTGTTGCAGGATCTTGTTCATATGTTCAATCTAACCGTTAGTCTTTGGATGGCGGCCAGACAACAGCAACAACTTAAGACCGTATACTTTCATCAGTTTCTGCCAGTTCTGACTAGTGAACCTGGTGTCTCTGTCACTGACTATCGACCACGATAGACCATGCTCACTGACCCAATGACCAAATAATTTTCTATAACTAGATCAGTACGTGCCTCAGCAGGCAAAGGGACAAAAACTGCATACTTGCTAAATCGATAAACTACAACCATGACTTGGCTTTTGCCATGCCTACTCTTGACCCCAGCATCCATGAAGTCAATAGACACAGAGTCCTGGGTCCTAATGGGATAGGCAAGGGTCTGAGAAGACCCAACGGGGCTCGCGTCGTAGTTTTATTGCGTTGGCATACCTTGCAACTACGCACACACTCTATGCAGTCAGCTTTCATGCCAGGCCACGCGTAGGCACGTATAAGGTTGGCTAATGTCTTTTGTCAGCCGAAGTGACCTTATCCGTCGTGACATTCCCCTAAGATCAGAGAGCGGATCTCTCGCAGTTGGGAATGGACAGTCGATCCACGACGTTTGTCTTCTCAAACAATAACCCATTACTGGTGCAGTAGTTAGGTTCACTGGCTGGGTCCTCCTTGACTCTCTCGAGGAGGTCACTATAAATAGGGTCCTACGCATACACACCTATGACTTTTTCCTGTAAGTCTGATCCTATATCCAGATAGTGAACTATAGCTCCAAAGTAGTCGGTTCTGCTACTAAGGGCGCCTGCAACCACATTATACTTCCCTTTGACTGGCTTGAGCTCGAAGTCAAACTGATCTCTCTACAGCCCACCTAGTAAGCTTAGGTGTCATCTTGACCTGCGTCTTCAGCCACCTCAACGGCTCGTATTCTGAATAGACTTTGAAGTGTCCCAAGCAAGTAATGTCTCCAGTGGTCTAATGCTTGCCTGAGAGCGTACAGTTCCCTCTCATAGGTGGATGTCGCTACCTTCTTTGAAGGCAACCTAGTGAACATGAACTCTACGGCTCTATACCCATTGCCATCATCTCGTTGTAAGACAACACCAATGTCATACCGACGTGCATCAGTAGTAACAACAAAGGGTAAAGATGGGTCAGCTACCTTGAGGACAGGGTACTCTATCAAGACCCGCTTCAACTTTTGTAGGGTCGATGTACAATTTTGGTCCCACTTCCAGATTGCCTCTTTATTTAGCAGTTTGCGAAGGGGAGCAGCGATTGCAGAGAAGTTCCTCACGAACATCTTATAATAATTCGCCAATCCTAAGAATGACCTGAATTTTGTGAGGGTACGTGGGGTTGGCCAGTCTCTGATCGCTGTGATCTTGTTGTCCTTAGGCTTTATGCCATCACCATCTAAGACGTGGGACAAGTACAAACTCGTTGTCTTGGCCCATTCACACTTCTTTGCATTGATCCTGAAATCTGCTTCGTGCAACTTTTCCAAGATTTGCCTCAGATGAGCCTCGTGCTCCTCGAGGGTCTTGCTAAAAATCAAGATATCATATAAGTAAACAACTACAAACCTATCTAACCACGGCCTAAACAAATCGTTCATGCAACGTTGGAACGTGGCCGGTTCGTTGGTTAGTCCAAAGGGGATGACTATGAACTCATAATACCCATACCTAGTCCTGAACGTCGTTTTCAACTGGTCATCAGGGTGAACCTTTATCTGGTGGTACTCTGACTTCAAATCTACCTTGGAGAAGTACTTGCAGCCCTGCACCCGATCGGGGCAGTGGTTTTGCATTCTTTACTATAACGGCGTTGAGACCCCTATAGTCAACGCATATTCTAAGCTCTCCCTCTTTCTTGGGGACAAAGAGAACAAGTGCTCCAAATGGAAACGAATAATCCAACCTTTCTCGAGGAGCTCATCTAACTGCTTGCGCAGCTCCTCTAACTCCTCAGGAGACATCCTATGAATTGCTCCTTTGGGAGTCTTACTGCCAGGCTCTATCTGAATGCAGTGTTGGATAGGATGCGAAACTACTCCTGATGGGGCCTTTGATAGATCTGCGTACTCTTCCAACAACTTGGCAATAAGCGGGTCAATTGGTTCCTCTTTCTCAGGCTCAATGATTGGCCTACCATAGGACACAAAGACCTGCTCTTGTAACTGCTCCTTTTTCACTAGTCGCGGGAACACGGGAGCACTGAGACAGCAATGTGCCAGAGGGTTGTCTACTCCTGACACATGGAACAAGCGGGCCATTTTGACACCACCTGACGGACTAGGATGTCTACACTCATGCTCTCTTAGATGCAGTGTGGCTCCTGGTGCCTCTCCCCTGTCCATTCCTAGGACCATATCAAACGGGAGATTGTCCTCTACGAGGAGAGTCAGGAAATGGATAACTCTCTCTAGCTTCCCATCTTTCTCTAAACAAGAGTACGCCTAGACTCCTCAACGTAATGCTTGATTCGCATCGTGTGATTGTCTGCGAGCATACTGACTATGGGTTCGTCTAGCTTCTGGACTTTCAAATTCAGCTTCAGCTTCCTCAGCGCTCTACGACTAATGTAACTACGGGTGGCCCCACTATCTATAAGGGCCCCTACCTTGCCTCTGAAGACTTCTACATCTACCAAGACTAGCTAGCCTTTTCCATCTTTCTTCATCTTGGCCCAGGCTGGCATCCTCTCCTTCAATTCTTTTGCTAGTCCTGTGAGCGAAGTGACTAGAGAGACCCTAACACAAGCAGTCGCTGGACAACTAACTAGACGCTGGCCAGCAACCTCCGCCATAGACACATGTGGGTTGGCAGTTTCTTCTTGGCGCGCGCACTCATCTCCACATGGCCTAGGAGTAAGGGTAGTTGCTACCCCTACCGGCGGTTGCCTTTTGCTGACTCTGCAGCAGCTCGTCGGGCATCCCTATATTTTGGGCTGTACTTTATGATATGCCCAGGGTCATTGCAGTAAATGCACTAACCCACGTCTATCCTTCTGCAAGACTGTATGTTCCATCCGCAGCAATTCCCAGGGATAGCCTTGAGGCAGACCAGCATGCCATTCACCCCACCTGGGAGGTGATCGATTAGCACGAGGATGGTTTAATGGGGGACCTTGACCCCTTTCTCCTTCTTGGCGGTTTCCCCTGCCGCCAACCCCCTGACCGCCCTGTCCTCGACCTGAGACCTCGCCCCCTTGGCCCCTGCCTCTCCCTCTTCCTTGCGGCCTCCCTCCGCCCACTACAGCAGCGTAGGTCCTCCACTGACCTCCTCGTCGAGGCCCCACTCAATCTCACTGTAGGGAACCTCCTCCGGACCACCCTCATCCAACGTAAGAATTAGGTTATCTTTAGCCTTGACTTTACTGGTGATGGTCCGGCCTTTCCACTTGTCGAGGTCCTCGTGCTAGAAAGTGGTAACTGGCATGGACAGGGCCTCGTAAGCAACAATCTCCCTACTAAGCGTATCATAAGTCATATTGGAGTGTTGCTTTTTGTCGAAGAAATGCCCGTGCAAAGCTTTGGGCATGGCACGATAAAACAGTTGGACGAGTTGGGGCTCAGTAACACCATGTCCAGAGGCAGCGACTAACTCGTCCATGGTGGCCTTGAGTGCACTTGCACTCTTTCACTGTCGTGAGTGGATTGTTTGCAGCTTGTCAGAGGCCTTAAGGCCTCTAGTGACATCTGCAAATCGATCGCGGAGGGCTTTCATAAATTCGCTCAAAGGAGTAATAGCGGAGTACGCGACCATATCATTCTTGCAATTGGCGACGCGTGCGAGCGATCTAGCAAAGCTGGCCGCTTCCTCTTCCAGAGCATGGAAAGCCGTGAGAACTTGGGTTCTTGATAACGATATGTTGCAAGTGCAGGTATGAATTAATATTGGCTTCCCAATTGCCAAAATCTTCGCCCTTCTTCCCCCTATACGGCTCAAGGAACTTAACTTTAACACGCTCTCTTCGTGGTCGTGCTTCCTCCTCTCTGGGGGCCACTAACTTGGCGCCTTCTATGGCGCCTACGCAAAACCTCTCAGTGCCTTCCATAGCAGCATGCAACTGAGTGTCCACGCATATCATCGTGTCTCTTACAAAATCTTTAAAACTTGTGTGCATGGACTGCAAGGCAATATCGTGGCCGCTTAAGTAATGCAGTTGTTCCTGTTGAGCCCACAATACTACCTCCATATTCTGGGATAAAATTTGTATTTGCTGCTTGAGGTCTGCCTGTGCTGCTAATTTCCCCCTTTGTTCTTCGGCGGCCCTCAAGTCCCTCTCCATCGTCTCATCCGCCTCCAATCGCCTCTTTCTCTCCCTTGCCAGGCGCAGTTTCCACTCCAACTTTTTCTCCTCCTCTATGGTCTGTCGCTGCAAGGGGTTCTCCTCCGCTTCCAATTCTCTTGCCTGAGGGACAAGCAATAATGCTTCTTCTTCCTCCACCGAGGCCAGGTTGGCCACCCATTCCATCACCATCTTTTCCATTTTTGCTCTTCTTTATTGGGCCTCACTAGATTCCCCTCTCTCTTCCCTCCTAACATTCCTTTGCGGGGGAACCTCTGCTTCTTCTTCTTCTTCTTTTTCTGCTTCTGCCTCTGC